TGTTTACTTAAAGTCATGATACTTTTTTTGGAGAAAATAACACACATCACTCTTTGGAGTCAAACCTCGACCCCCTTTACATATTCCCTTGTGACAACTGCAGTCCTAACACTCACACTGTGTCATACTGTGTCATTCAGTCGTCTTCATCACCTGCACCCGTCCTTTCCCGCCTCCCCCTTAGCGACATAATGGGCGAGCCCAAAGTGACCCATATTTACCCAATAATACGAAGCTTTGAAAAGACCCATATCGAGTTGCAGCTAATGCTCCAGTGGGGCCCGGAGAGTGAAAGATGTTACCGGCCGAAACGGCTTGGGTTTCAGCGCCCTGCGAAACAAAAGGCAGTCCAGTCCTCGGAGAGAGAGGAGGGGGGGTGAGGAGCTGATGGGGTGAAGGAGCATTGGTGCACACAGTGTAGCAGTAGTGTTCAGAGGGGAGCAAAGCGTCTATTTCACAAGTAATTTTTTTTTTTCTCGTAAGTTGGTGTTTGGCAAAAAAAAAAAAGAAAGAAAAAAGGCATTCTTGTTGTTGCACGTCTTCTGTTGCTGGTCTGTCCTGTCAAGTACAGTCATGTGAAGTTTATCTTTCAGCTTCACTTACATCTAGCCTTTATGGGAAGATGCGGATATTATCCGCCGAGTTAATGGAGCAGAACTGAACTAACCTCGGGTGTTAGGGGTGAGCGGAGGGCAGGCAGGGTTAGTTTAAGAGAAGAGGGTTTGTGATGATGATACCCAAAGGTGATTTCCCCCCCATATCCTCCCCTCCTTCCTCTTCCCAACCCCCTCAACTACACTCTTCCTCCCTCTCCTTCATGTTCTCTTTCTGCGCTCTCTCCCTCCTTAGGGGCAGGCAGGTATAAAGTTACACAGAGCTCTCAGCTTTCTTGGAAGGAATGACCACATGAGTAGCTTGGGGATTAGATTAGCAGGAAGAGCAGACTTAGCCAGGCTGTAAATAGCCCACTTTTTTCACCATTAAAAAGGCCCAGTACAATATAATCAATAGATAGCACTCATCTGATGCAGGAAGCCATATGAGAAGACCTCCCTCAAGTGCTCTGAAGGACAGGCTACAGCAGCTTGGGCCTAATGAAGTTATTATTAATCACTGGGCCTCCTGTTTTGAACTTGTGTGCCGTTTCTCTAGTGGTCTTTGTGTGCACCGTCTGGTTGACATTTTGTGCTGTCCTCCTTGTTATTTTCACTCTGTTGTGAGGTGTTTGTGTTTTTAATGTCACAGACATGCTACCAAGCATGTTTCACCTTCATTTTCAATGTTTTTATTGGGTTCTTAGGAACAACAGAAAGCAAAATCCGATCTATGCAGCGAGCGTTATCGCCAACACCTTTTCCCCCCTCATCCATCTCTCATTCACATACACCTCGGCTCTGTCAGTCTCTCTGAGCCTCCCTGCAGGTGTTAGGTTTCTCTGTAAAGCAGCCTGAATGAGCATGGAAATCAGAGTGCTGTCTGTGCTCTTGATTCACTTTTCACTTTGAAGTTTACCGAGCTCACAGGAACAGGGGCCACAAAGCCAGACTCGTGTGAGGGCTTTAGACGCCTCTGCCAGGACTATGGCAGGACGGGGGGGCGTGAGAGGTTTGGGCAGTATTGATGGGCAAGGCTACGTGTTGTCTGGATCGCTGGCGGCCTTTGCTTTTTTTTGCTTTGTAGTAACACGAAAGAGAAAACGGTACGGCTCGCTTTTTAAGCGCACAATACACACTTGAGAAATTACTCGACTGGGAAGGGACGGAGCACTTAAGTAGAGAGGCAGCTATCACTGTGACTGTTTTTTCTGCCTGTGCACGATTGTGAAAATAAACAGTGACGTTCGCGTTTGCTTAAGATCCCCGCAAAGGAGGTTTGGCAGGATACATCTGTAAGCACTTAGAAAAAATAAAAACGGCTATAATACTTTAATAGAGCCATGTCGGAGAGACTTTTAGGCACAAGGTGTTCCACTGTCAGTGTATGTCTACGTCCGTCTTTGCTGATCTCATCAAAGGGCCAAAGGGTACCAGAGAGAAGGAGGGAAAAAACCTTCAAAAATAAACTTAAACTCAGGCTACATTCGCAGGAAGAGTCTTTAAAAGCAGCCTTCGGGGTGCCGGCCAGGCAGATTATTTCTAACATATCCAACCTGCGTTACTCAGCAGAGCTTTCTATTTGTTCTCAGGTATCTGAATCACGTGCGGGCCGCCGTGACTCAGGACACAGCTGGAGGATACACCTCAGGTTTGGCGTGTTATCGCGCCATCCAGGACGCGTTCAGCGGGCTGTTCCCTCTGAGAGGCTGAAGAAGCTACTCCAGTTAGAAATGTGACTGAAAAGACTTTAAATATTGCACTACTACCACTACGCTGCTGTGGGTGGGGAGTGCTCTGACTTATATGTATGTTGTATGTAACTTTTTAAATTTTGTGCAAACTTTATTTTTTAAATAAATGGCAATGAACACTGAGGTTTTGTCTGTCATTTTGCAGATTTATTTTAAAATTAAACGCAGGCCAGAATTTAAAAAAAGAAAATGCAAATGACTTAGTCACAAAGTTGAGCTGTGACTTCTTCAAATAAACAATATTTAAGTGCAAAAAATAAAGTCAGCTCCTACGCTGATCCTCATGGTCCTCATTGTGCCAAGTCGATATTTATCCTTACGTTGCATTTGTAGTTTCTTCACACTTCTGTCTCTTTGAGGCTGGCTCTTCAATTTGTTCTGTAGACAAACAGAAAAAAACATCATAGAAACCATCTCTGTGCCAACGTTGAAAATTAGCTCTGGAATTTCAGCACATATAACAGCGCAAACACAGGTATTCATGCTTTACCAAAATTCACACTATGGGCTAAGTAATGTCTAAGTAAAGTGGGAACTTAAAATGTTATGACAGAAAACTGAGGAAATAGTTTCATAATAAAAGACAAACATGCTTTCCTCTTGTTTATTTTCAATGCCTCTTCTTCCCACATTTATGGGATGTTTGAGCCTTTTCTTTTGGAAAAGACCTCATAAGAAGGAGTGATTCCTTACCTGACTCTTCAGCATCACTTCCAAAGAGGACGTCTTTAGGGAGTGTGAACCTCACACACATCATATCTTTGTTGGGAGCCACGTTGCGCACAAAATGCACAGAGCATCGGTTCTTCAGAGGGAATCCGAGGCTGCGGGAAGCTCTCTCCACCACATCTGTGTCAGGGTCATCATCTTTGGAGAAGCCGTAGCAGTGCACTGTAGGTAGGTTCTCATCACAAGGAGGTTCCTGGTGGTGCAGGAGGCCCCTGAACGCATCCAGGAAGTCCAGAGCTAAGGCAGGCAGGTTCATCACCACATGAACGGCAGATGTTCCCCTCATCAGTACAGGCAGCTCCTGCTTTAAAGGTCCCCGGATGAACGCCCTGCCGTCCAGATTGAAGGCTCTGACTTTGCTCTCCACCTTGTTGAGTTTGCAGTTATGCTGCAGCCATCGGTAGGACTCTGGGTTGAGGTCGTTGGCTAAGATGCTGGCACCTAAGCGAGCAGCTGGGATGGCGAAGGGTCCGACGCCAGCGAAGACATCAAACACAGTGTCGCCGCGCTTGACGAGCTGCACCACCCGCTGGTGTTCTGTGCTCAGCCGAGGGTTCCAGTACACGCGAGAGAAATCAAACTCGTACGTCACCCCGTTTTCTTTCACCTGGATCGGGATCGGGACAGCGATTAGCCTGTGCACTGAACATATGTAATAACAACAAGTGTGAAACAGAGGGCTCTGTGGAACTACACATACTTTGGCGACCATGTTCTCCTCTCCAGCCAGCACTTCCATCTTAAAGTTGCGGTAAGTGGAATCGATTATGTTCGTCTTATTGACCACACAGGTGACACCAGGATTTTTGTCCATGATCACCTGACCTGCAAGAGAAGGCACAGAAAAGAAGCCTTACTGTAAATTTGGAAATGATGGGTGATCCCAGCTGATCCACTGTTTCTGTTAGCTGTATTTAGTCAGATGTACTTGTCATTTTGACATTTTAAGACACAGGTAAGTTTGGGTGACACATTAAAAAAAATAAAGTGAATAAATAAGCAGAAAGACGTGTAGATACTTGAGTTTGTAATAAAACCTCCCGCGGTCCAGGCAGCAGCCTCTCACCTATGAGGTTCTTGTATGTGAGCTGGTGGTCCCTCAGGTTCATGTGTGCGATGTGGCCCACCCGACTGAACGCAGAGGTCACATCCTGACCTTGGGGAAGCACAGCCTCCAGCACTTCTTCGCTCTTCAGGTTGTCATAGGTCAGCTTCAGCTCATAGTAGTGGAGCTCCTCACTGACACTGAACGACCTCAGAGCCTCAGCTTCAGTCTCACTGAAGGAGCTCGGTGAGGAGACTCTGCGAGGGTCCAACAGGACCAAGCGAAAGTCGCTACTCTGCTCTTTGTCCTGAACCACCCTGGGCACACCAGGGCGCTGGATGCTCGACTTTTTTAGGCTTTTCACTACTTTGTTTAAGACCCCAATGGGCACCCGTAGAGCAGGGACTGTAATAGTCTGTGTGAAGGCGTCTTTGTCCAGAGAGGTCATACCCCGGACCTCTGGAGGGGGTCGGTACAGTTTAGGCTCCATTATGGGCTTCACAGCCAAGCAAGGATACGCTGCAGAGCAAAAGCAGCGGTGCACAGTGGCAGGATTCAGGCTCCTTTGAGTTTGTGCAGATACAAAGATCCTGCCGAGAAACCTACGAACATAATAACGCCGTAATAATCAGGCAGAAAAGAAAAAAACATTCAAATTATCAGAACAAAGCTTAAAACAAAAGTATACAATTAACCACTAACGATAAACCAGATCCAGACAGCTCACCTCAACATCCTCCGATTACAGGCATGCTTGAACTACGTCATAAGACGTCGACCACAGTCGAGCGGTGATTGGTCAAGCGAGCAGCGACTCGCATTTTGATTGCACGGTGTAATTTCTGACGTGTAGAACGCGACGGAAATAAGAGGCACGTGACTCAACATCAACAGTGATCAGCTGACAAGTTTAGAGGAGGAGAGTTTGAGATGGTATCGTAACTCTGCGGCTCCCCGTCTCCTCTCAATCTGCGAGGGTTTGTTTTTTTTACACTAATAAATTTGTTTCCCGCTTCGGTTCCCCACCCACAATGAGCATCAACAACGATGTGGACGTGGTCCGTGAACGCACCGCCCAGGACACCGAAGAGACTGCACCTCTGTTACAGGTAAAACAACAGGCGAAGACCCAAAAGTGAAACTGCGCTGAATGACTTGCTGACCTAAAATCTACAGTCTGAGACAGAAAATAAATGTGTTTCTGTCACAAGGAAGAATTTATGTGTTTTATATAACTTTATTTATCCAAGAGACATTTTCAATCTCAGATAAAAAATTATTTTTTTTCTTCAAGATAAATCTGGCGAAAGGGTAGCAATAATTGCAACAAATCTAAAATCACAGTTCAATAAACATATTTTAAATGGTCCAAATTTAAAAAAAATAAAAGTCAAACATCAACAGTGACTTTTTGTGTTTAATTTAATAATACACTGTGAATTACAGTAGTTAAAATGGCTGGTTTTTGTAGTGTTGTCAGTAAATCAGGCTGTCAAAATGTCCAGGAAAAATATCACGTGCTTGTTTTGAACTGCTTGTTCATCTGTTTTCTGCCTGTGTCAGCACTTGCAGTGAAAGTACACCCAACACCAGAACCTCTCTTTCTTCTTCTTTTTCCCCCCTCTCATGCTAATCTCTAACTTTGTTTCCTTTGGGCTTTGTCTTTTTTTTGCTAATAAATTATGTCCAAAATTGAAGTAGACAAATATATGATTTTTTTAATATACTGGCATTATTTCAGTATTTCACTGGTTAAAAATCCAAAGGACCAGACAGGGCGCAAGAGAGGTGAAGAAGAGAGTGCTTGGAGACAAGTGACCAGGATGGACAGGATTAGAAAGGAGTACATCACAGGGACAAAGTCGGGACTGTTTGGAGGGAGGGATAGTGGCTATATTAGACCAAGGATATTGAAGATGGAGCTGCCAGGCAAAAGGGAAAGAGGAAGACCTCAGAGGAGACTATGGATGTAGTCAAGGACAGGAAGAGGGTTGGTGTGAAAGAGAAGCGTGATTTAATTACATACCATGGTTTCACAGTTAAATGGACAATTCTACTGTCAGTCCCTCATTTGAGGATGTTGTTGTGGTTATATTAAATCAGTTGTCCACATACACGCTGACAGACTGCTCAAAGCTGCTGATGAATCCTGCAAAAACTCTGCAGAAACCAAAGTGTCTCCATCTGCACCTCTTCAGAATGTGCCATTTTAATAGTGTGCAGGGGAAAATGGGGGGGAAAAAAACAACAAACCAAAATCATATTTCAGCCTTCGAACCACTTATTCTTTGATTTGATGTCAGACTAGATTAATTTAATGTTGTTTGCTGAAGCTACTTGAAGCTAAAACAGTGCACTGATAATGCAGATAAAGACTTTATTGTGACACAGAGACTATTTCAGTGCCCACTTAAGTGTTTAGAATTTTAACTTCAGACAAAAACTTTTTGACCTCACCCGTATTACAGCATTATATTAAAAATGACTGTTACAGTCATTTTTAAAACATCAGTAATGTATGTTTAGAGAGTTTAGAAGTTTTAGCTTGTCTGTCTAAAGGTAATGAGAGACTCTTTCTAGCTTGATTTTGTTAGTTTATGTGGCTGATTTCAGTGAGCAATATAGAGTTACAGTTCAAATCTAAGCAAGACATAGTGTGTGGTGTGTGTTGTTGATTCAGTGAGAGTATGTGAGGGTTACCATAAATTTTGTCTTCATGGTGTGAACATGCGGCTCAATCTGGACGTACACATGTTTGCAAAGTACTGAAAACAACATGTTCTCCCTCCTTTGGCTACTCTGTTTAGGGGTCACCACAGCAGATCATTTGCCTCGGTCTCAGCCTATCCTTAGCATCTTCCTCTGTCACACCAACCCTCTGCATGATCTCCTTGAATAGATCCATCAACAATCTGTGTGGTCTTTCTCTTTTCTCCTGCCTGACAGCTCCATCTTCAACATTCCTTGTCCAATATATCCACTCTCCCTCCTCTGCACGTCCAAACCAACTCAGCTTTGGCTCTCTAACTTTGTCTCCAAACATCCATCACAGTGGTTTGATTTCTGCTTGTTTTTCTTCCAACTGTGTTGAATTGTACCCTGTGCAAGCTGGGATAAGCTTTACCTCAGTGTGCCATGCTTTACAATAAACTCCAGCTAAATTGTATATTCTTATTAATTTTGGGTCTTAGTTCACTTCCTGTCTCTCAGTACTGTAACAGGGGGGACTGCAACAGCCTGAAGGTCAATCTAAGCTTGTTGTGACACTGACACAAGAGTTGCCACTCGTTCTGTCCAGGATATCCCCCATTAGAGAGGTCAAGCAGTTTGGGCAGCTCCCCTTATCCTGAGCTCAGGCAGCTGTCCCACAGCCAGCAGCTCAAATCCCTCTCCATCCATTCCCATTTCCATTCCCTGATCCTCCATGCCACTGCTGTGCTCTTTTCATGACATCCATCATCAGGGCAAGCCAGTTGTTCTTAATACTGTCATGAGTAATCTTCCTGAGGCTCTTACAAAAATAATCAGATTTCTTCTGCTGCATCTTTTTCTTCATGCTATTTATATTGTGTGTTATATGTGCAGGGAGCTGTGCTATCCAGAGGCAGAGGTGCCTCCTTCGCCTCCTCTGTGTTTAACCTGATGAACGCAATCATGGGCAGCGGCATACTGGGTCTAGCTTATGCCATGGCTAGCACTGGAATAGTTGGGTTTTGGTAAGAATCTTCTCGGTGCGTAAGGCAGAAAAATGCATGACTTGACCCCTGGTATCCCAGACGATATCTGGATTAGTTTGTTATAATTCCTATAGAGCATCTAAAACTGTGTCTCCCAGTGTTTATTTTTGCTTTACAATTTGATACGTGCTTGTAAAGATATGATGAGAAACGTTTTTTTCCAGTATCCTGTTGGTGCTGGTGTCCAGCTTGGCTGCGTACTCTATACACCTCCTGCTGAAGCTCTGTGACCAAACAGGTGGGTGGGATGCAGGGTAACACGTCTCTGTGGGTGTATCCAGGGGGCTTCATCCAGAGTTGTTACATTTAAACACCCTCACTTGATTTTTTTCCCCTGTTCCATTTACTTATTATTTGCATCCTCATTGTGAGAAACTTCAGATGATGTTTAAATAATATTTTACAGGAGCAAAGAGAGGAGATAAAAACCAGATAATCCCATTTTTCCATGAAGAATTTTGTGATGCGATAGTCATCCTGACATCGTTTTCATGTCTGATTCTTCTTTTTTTCCCTCTTCTTCTTGGCTCTAGGTATCAATTCATATGAAGACCTCGGAGGGAAAGCCTTACAAAAACCAGGAAAAGTAAGTGTTGATTTTTGGATTGCTGCACATTTGCCCTGCCAAAAAGTTTTTACAAGTTTTTCCACCGTGACCAGAGAACTTGCTCACACTGACTGTCTTTTTAGGTTCTGGTTGGAATCGCTATTCTTATCCAAAATATCGGTGGTAAGTGAGCCCCCGGTTCAATGTGCAGTTACATACATCATTTCTGACATGCTGGACAGGAACTGATTTTTGTGGGCTTTTATAGGAGAAGGGTGGTGAAGAGGGTGAGGAGTGCTGCAGGGTCAGACTATGGTCAGTTTATTTTGGAGGTAGATAGCGCCTCCTGCTGGTGCTCAAATGGCTGGTGTTTTACAGCCACCCTCCTGTGTGGCTATTATCTCGATTCCCTGATAACCTCTGACCCTGCAGCCGCTGTCTCCTCCCCTGAGCCTGAAACACGACTTCTCCTCTAATTGATCGCTGATGGTAAACCCACTCCCACCGTCTGTGTGTGGAGTAGCCTAATGGGACCCCTCCCTTTATTTCCCCCACCCCCTCACTTCTCTCTCTCTCTTTCTCTTACTGTCATTCCTCAGCCACAAACCGTGCTTCCCAGACAGTCGAGAGCTGAGGTGATAGCTCCTCTGCAGTCATTAGTGGGACGGCTGAGTGGATTATTGCCGTGCCCTCTGGTATGTGTGCGGTTTTCCCAGCATGGGGGCAATATGTGTGAGAGTGTGAGAGCCAGCACTCCAGCATGCATCTGTCTATACCCCGGGCCCCTTTTATAAGAGTGCAATTAGCCTCACTCTGGGTAAACATTCATCTGCACTGCCAAAGGCTGATGGGCCAATTGACCTTAATTACTGACCAGCCCAGGGCTCTCACAGCCGGCTTCGGCCCTTGTCCTTAATGAAATGAAAGTGGCTCTGGCCTTTGTTGAGCACACTCTGCCGCTATTTGCTGACCACACACAGAAGGTTTAGGTCAACTTTTCTTGAAGTTTACATACGTACTTATTATTCTAATACGTTTTCTTACCACTTGGCAATGCTTTCTCTTCACTCAGGGTTTTTTTTTTCCTCCATGCTTTTTTTTTAAAGATGCAAATACTGTCCCACCAGCAGTTTCCACAGATGTGGTGTTATACTTACAGTAACCAGCTGCATCGAACGAAACCATTGCATCATGTCTGCTGTGTGTGATCTCTGTCAGCATGTCTTTATTTGTCTGTGGCTTAAAACGATACATATAATATAAAAAATTTTTCATGCTTTCTTTAAGTTGACGGATGAACTCTCCCAGGGTACGTTTTTGATTAATCCGCTAAAAAAAACCCCGCAGCCTCAGAGTAACATCTTATTGACAGATTTGAGCGCTTACATAAAATGTCTGCAGTTATTCTCAGAGAGGGAATGTCCGTGCGTCTGTGTGGGCCGAAGTGTTGCTGGGGGAATTTTCTTTCATAAACAAATACAGGATCTGGGGGATTAAGGCCAGGCTTATTTAACGGCTAGCGCAAGATCTGCCCTCCGAGGCAATAAGGGCCCAACTAACTCTGGCTAGCGTGGCTTCACAAATCTAAATCCCTTAACATTATCTCCCTTTATAACTGGCCACACACTGCATCTGAATACCAAACGCGCTCACTTCTGATGATGCTCTCTTCCCCCTTTCTTGCTTGCTTTCTTGTTTTTGGGGCTTCTAATACTCACAAAAAGTGACCCCCCCCCCTTCTCTCTCTCTCTCTCTCTGATTGGTTGCCTGTGCATACAGGGAAGTATCCTTTTTCCTAGTGAGGTGGAGAAAGGGGGAGAAGTACCTGGATTAGCGTCAGAGATCATTATTGTTAGCATTCCTCCCCCCTTCGCACTTCTTCGTCCTGGCTGCCACTCGCGGTCTCCAGCAGTTGGAAGTCCTGCATAATGTCCGCTCCTCTATGCCAAGGGCTTTGCCGGTGATCCCCTTGAGCTGCCTGCCCCACCCGTTTGCATTGGAGCCGTAGTAACCCCCCCCCCCCTTCCACCCTGCTATTTCCTCACACTGGAAAAACGCTCATCATCCTCACACAGCAGCTTATGATTGCTTGTGACAGCACACATTCATCTGCTGTTTTTATGATTTAGTAGCTTGGTGTGATTATGGGCTTTTTTTCTTTCTTTTTTTTAAAAATAAACACTCAATTTCTGAACCCTTTCTGTTCTCTCGCTTCTCAGCCATGTCATCCTATTTGTTCATCTTGAAGTCGGAGCTTCCTGCAGCCATCAACAGCCTCCTGAGTGCAGACAGCCCAGGGTGGGTATATCCAGCGCTGTGAGCTCCCTCGTTTGCCAAAAAAGAAATTCAGCTCAAAATCTGTCACAGCTGCGGGTTGAACAAAGTCATTCTTTTGAATTAGCTGCACTGAGATAAAGAATGAGTCATTCCTGTTCCCATGATGTTGGAGATTATACTTTTTGGCCTTTTTAAATAAGTCAAATTTGACACTTGTGCGCCACAAAGCTACACAAACTGGAATTAGTCGGGCAATAAGAAGCGCATGAATAATGTCGGGGAAGCTCCCTCGCTAAACCAAAATACACTGCTAATGTTTTCTCTGTCTGTCGTGTAGCGTGAGGCATGCCCACAGGAAATGTATTCCCGATACGAGAGCCATTCATCACCTATCAGCAGCAGCCAGTGCCTTTCATTGGTCTGCGTGGACATGCCTGCAGAGAAGTCCTTGGCAAAGAATGTAACTTCTATCACTTTATTATTGGCCACACTGGTTTAAGCAAGAGTTGTAGCTGCTCTCAGCCCTATCCGTCAACATCTGAATCTTCCACACACAGCTGCTTTGTATTAGCGCTCTCCTTTCACCCCCACCCCCCAAAATCTCTCACACATGTTCCCCGGAATCAGACTGATACAAGGGGATATCAGTTTTGCCATTCTAATTACAGCTCACTGCTGAGGGAAACAAAACATTTCTGTTAATGAGCGGCTTTGAGATGTTAACAGACGCGCACATTCGATTCCATCAAAGCCCAAATAAATGAGTTGTTTTATATTAAAACGCGTTTCTTTTATCTGGCTCATTTATCATAATATGGCAGAGCGAAAACAAAGTCACGCTCAATCTTTTCTGCGCTGCTGCTAACAGACTGCGTGTGTCCCGCTTCTCTCATCGCGTTTAAATTCAAGGCCAAAGACACGGACAGCTGTGGATCTGGGATTGTGCGCGGCCAGATTTATGCTGATGTTCGAGATTGACTCATTGGCAGTCGTGCTCCGGCTTTAACCGAGAGCTATCCTGCATCTCGTTATAGCGTGAAATGTTCCACATTTCATGGTTCTTCTAGGTATCCTGTAACTTTACAGTAAGCCTGCAGCCTCCAGAGATCCCTTTTTCTTTTTTTTTACAAAAATGTCTGCAGGAATGAGAGCTTTTTTTTCTTTAATTTAAAGTGCTTCTTGTTGAAAAGTAATGTGCAAATAAACCGGCCTCGCCCTAATTAAGATTGGGTCTAATACTTTGTGTAAACTTGGCTTGGAGCAGACCTGATTGGACCAGAGAGAGTCCAGGTCAGAGCAGAGGTCTCGGTGACATCCAGTTACAGGGTAGAAACGGTGTAGATGCGGAGACAAATCCATCAGCGCCTATGGTAACGCCACAGCTGTGAAACTGCCAAACAGGGGTCAGTGGGTGTTGATGTTGTCAGAGCAGGTGCTGCTTGACTCTGGAAGCCCCCATAAAGAGCGGTGGAGCCAGTCCCTCACGACCCCGCATACAATCCGCAGCAGAGAGCCGGGCAGCATCCGTCTCGACCGACCCCGGTGGAGCCGGCATGCCTTCCACATGTGTCACCTCGAACGCCAAGCCCCCACCCCCCTCCTCCTCCTCATTTTACTCCCCGATCTCGAATGAACTGCCAAGGCTATCCCTCGGCAAAGGAAAATATTATTCCCCCTCTCCAAAAACCCAGCAAGTGAAATGTGGTCTCATCTGATGGAGCGACACAACGTTTGCATGTGAATTACATAATTGTTATGGTTTGCAAGAGCTAAAGCCTTTAATTCATACCACATGATGAATCTGTCGCTCTGTATTTGAGCACGAAATGGAGACAAATTTCCAGAGCCGGCCCATCTTAAGGCATGGAAGAATACTCTCTCCTATCCCTGACCTGATAATAAAACGTGGCTTAATTCAGTGTTAACCTGTAATAGTTCACTTGCCTGTAATAGTTCACTCCCTTGCTGTTTTTATTCATTCATTCATTTATTTATTTTCCAGAAATGCCTGGTATGAGGATGGCAGGCTGCTTCTGATCATAATCACACTTTGTGTCGTTCTACCTCTGTCATTGTTGCCTAAAATTGGTACGTTAAGCGATCCTCAAGCGTGTTATTTATTTTTTTCTTGTTTGGTTGCTTTTTGATAGATCTTTCTCCCGTCCTTACAGGCTTCCTGGGATACACTAGTAGTCTCGCCTTCTTATTCATGCTGTACTTTGCAGTTGTGGTAAGCTCTGACACGAACCTCCATACGTCCATCTGTTTGTTTGTTTGTTTTTTCATTTTTGACTTTATTTATTATCTCGTGTAGGTCGTGGTCAAGAAATGGTCCATCCCCTGCCCACTGCCCCACAATATAACGTCCCTTTCAGGTGCCTTGAAGGTAAGAACAGCATTTCTTTCAGCACATAAATACTCTTTTGAAAACAACACAGATCTGGTGCAGTATGGTCCAGAAGGTCATGGGCACGGGATTAAGAGGAAAGCCCAGGAGATTGAGCTTACTGATTGTGTCTGCACAGGCTGATGAGGACCAGAGAAGGCTGCACAGATCTGTGTATGGTAACTGATGCTGTTCCTGAAGGACAGGAAGTCCAGATAACCTTTCCTGATCCTGGAAATCAACTCTGACCTTTTAGGAATTAAACAGACCATACAAAAAACCTGCTATGAGCTATATTAGAATACTTGTTTCCCTTAAGCTTGAAATGAAGCTTTACTATTTGCAGCAGCACTGCTGAACTCATCTCTTTCTAGAAATAACCGGCTCACTTTTTTTCACCTTGTTTCTCCAGATATCAAATTCCTCTGACTCAGAGTGTTCTCCAAAACTCTTCGTCATCTCTAGTAAGGTACGTATAGGAAACCAGCGTTTTTCCTTGGCACTGAACACGCGGCGGCTTTGAGGTGGCAGTGAGAAGCTGTTAAACGTAGATCTGCTGCAGCTGCTCCACTGTGTTGACAGGTCACACTCTCACCTGTGAAGTGTAACCTGTACATGTGGAGCTCAAGCACACTACGCAGCTGACACGTGACACCGATTTACGCTTTCTCGACCGTTTCCTATAATGTGCTGACACGGCACTATAGATGTATACTTGCACGTAGTATAAGATGCATTTAGTGGAAGAAAAGTTCAGAAAGTTCACACTTTTCGATTTGCATCCTCACTCTTAGCAGCCCAAGCAGTAATTACTACTATGAGGACCATACCTTGACCCACCTACCTCCTCCCTCCAGTGTAACTGAGTAGGTTGTTAATTTGTTAATGACGGCTGTGCTCTGACTGATGTGTGTGTGTGTGTGTGTGTGTGTTTGTGTTGCAGAGTGCCTATGCCATCCCCACCATGGCCTTCTCCTTTCTGTGCCACACGGCTGTCCTGCCGATCTACTGCGAACTGGATCGGTCAGCTTCGCGTTTATTTCTACTATTTTTGCCTGTTTTCTGTCATATGTATCCAGTTATGACAGAAAACAGCTGCTTATATTAAACACGGCAAAGTTTCAAGTAGTTAGAGGATGCGTGAGTCAGAAGCTCAGGCTTTAGGCTCCTCTACATGCATTTCCTACAGTTTGCTTTCTATGTGGAGAGGAGGTTAAATGACCTGACTTAGGGGCTACACCAAGGCCCAGGATAGGATAATAAGATGAATTATAATTGTTATGTATCATTTAAAGCTATTCTAAGTCTATGAATAAAATATGGAGCTGGAAATGACCATAATAGGTGCTTGTCACGTGAATGCATTATTATCGCTTTGTCTTTCAGACCTACCAAAGCCAGGATGCAGAAGGTCACGAATATCGGCATCAGCCTCAGCTTCTTGCTGTACTTTATTTCTGCGCTGTTTGGCTACCTCACCTTCTACGGTAAGTCATCAGGGACACTTTCATTCAAAGGAAAGCATTGTCCCATCTCTGTTTTCATCTTCTAACTTTTAGCTCACGTGGAATCCGAGCTGCTCCTCAGTTATGATGCATACTTGCCCCGGGACATCATGGTGATAGCGGTTCGACTGGCCATCCTCCTGTCTGTGCTGCTGACTGTGCCACTTATACACTTCCCTGTGAGTAGACCTGCTTCATCATGATGATGATGATGATGATAATGATGATAATAATAATAATAACGATGCTTTTTCCACACAGGTTTGTTTAGTGCTTCTTCTTTTTTCTTTTTTTACTCAAACTGTGAAACTGAAGAACTGAACTGAAAATACTTGAAGGCTTTGTTGATCATTTTTATGTTGTTATTGTGATCAAGATGGTTTTATTTTTCAGTTCCACCTTTTTACTCTTTCACTTTATCAATTTAAATTTATTGTCGCCTAGAAAATTCATCTGGCTCTGTTACTGTGTTACAGCTGCCAGAAAAGCAGATTACTTCACTTTCCTTCTTTCTGCTTTAAGACATTTAGTTGCAATAACACTCGAGTGCTTTCAGCTTGAATGAGTACTGTCTGTGTCTGTGTGCTTGCTGCAGGCCCGTAAAGCTGCAATTTTGATGCTTTTCGGGGGGCGTGCCTTTTCTTGGCTGATCCACATCGCTGCAACTCTAACCATCCTGTGTGTGGTGCTGATACTCGCCATCTTTGTGCCTGATATCAGAAATGTGTTTGGAGTAGTAGGTATGTGGTACTTTGAAAATACTTTTAACATATGGGAGTGGGGGGGGGGTGTATATCAATAGATATTATATTGTTCATAAATTATAGATATATTTTTATTTCCTTACCTGTAACCTTTTAAATATGAACAGGCATTATAAGCTGCCAATATCCCAGTAGCCCACAGTTATTGATTGTACTGGCTAGAACTGCAGTATCTGCTTATACATAATTAATGGCTGGAGTCCTGCTCAAACAGTTTATAAATCTCCTATCATGAGCCTTTCCTGTTTGTTCCTCAGGATCAACAACATCCAGCTGCCTCTTATTTGTCTTTCCGGGCATCTTCTACCTCAAAATCAGCAGGCAGCCCCTCAGGTCCTTCGACTCTGTTGGGGTAAATGAGCTCTTCTGTAAATAGAAGATCTGGCGATGAAGTTGCATACATTATATTTTGAGGTAATCTGGTAATTATTTCGATTTTTTTTTCTTTTCTTTCTCCTCTCTCAGGCTGCACTACTCGTGGTCTTTGGCGTGATTATGGGAGTCATCAGTTTCTGTGTTATCGTCATCACATGGGCAAAGAGCTCCTAGCCCCCTTCTGGTCTCCTCCCCCAGACCAACAACAAAACCAAAGAAAATGAAGCGCGCACCAAACAAACTGAAAGTTGAATAAATAAAGGGAACAGCATCGCCCCCAGGCATTTATTTATGATAAAATTATTCGACATTTGGAAAGAACATGAAAAAAAACAATCTCAGCTCAATGTTTACATCTCCTGTACCGCACTGACCTTTGTACTGTACCAAATTCAGGGCAAGTCTTGTCTTTTTTTTTTTTTTTCAAATCTGATGTGTGGGTTTGTGATACAAAGCTGTAAATTTACTTTAATGTGCTTGTTTTTTCATTTCTACTTGTTCTGTGTTTGCGATTTTTGCACTTTATGTAAATTATTGACCACCCGATGAAGACTACATCGAAGTTTACTGCTTTCCTAAATTTTGTATGTGACACTATATGTATTTGTAAACACAGTGGGTTTTATGGATCACATTTATTTTTTGGGGCATTTGTTTTGAGTGTCTTTGAGCTTTGAGCACTCTAAAATCAGGTAAAACTATTTCTGCTCCATCGTCTACTGCGGTGAATGTGATAAAACCGGTGATCAGTTTGTTGGTTCATTATAGCGCACGCCATGTGGGCCTAATTTAGAATGATGTGTTAGATTGTATCAAATTGCCAGCACTTGATAAAAGAGACGTTGTTTATGTAATGACATGTCAGTTTTGCTCTATTTAACCACTAAAATGTCTTTATCGGTTTTCTAGAAAGCTCATCAGTCAAAACATGTCTGCTTGTTTGATTGGCAGGCACACTGCTGACGCTGAGGCCCCGCTCCTCAGTTGTACTGTGGTTTTCAGCCTGTAGCTAATGAAAGCCACATGCTCTGTACGTTTCTAATCATGATGCTGTTTAGATTGTCTTCATGCTGCCTCTGGAACCTACGGCCACCCGACTGCTGCTTTTAATCTGAGGAATTAGGCAGGCTGGCCCCCGCCATCCCTGCGAGAAAGCAGCGGCTGCAGGATTTTCACGCCACCCTTTTTTCCTTTTTTTAAAACAAGGTTCGGTAATGCAGGGAATATCCCCGTGCTTCAATCCACCCCTCTTAAGGACACTCCCAGAAATAAAGGGCACCACAGCTGAACATATATATTTGGTTGTCATGAGGGGTAGAAGCAATGAAGTATGACAGCAGAAAAAAATACTGAAGTACATTTTTTTCCAAATAATTGTAATAATTTTGGGCTTGAAGGAATAATTTAAAGAAATGCCAGTGAGAAAGTCCCCAGATAAAGGAGCTATAAATGAAGTGGGAAAACAACAGTGTTTCTGACAAATAGGAACAGAAATTAAGAATCCTGACCTTCTCCTGCACGGGATCATTTACAAACCTCTATGCTGAACACAAAAGCAGAGCAAGATTGCCACCTGGTGTCAGACTGTGTCCACAGCAGTCCAGGTCGGCACCATTTCACAGAAACTCAGGCGTCCTATGTTTTATCAAAACCTAACTAGGTGAAGATAACCACATGCTCAGATATTTTTCCAGGTTTATAATGAGCTGGAAAAATGCATGTTAACTCAAACCAGAGCTGGGTTTTTTTGTTTTTTTTTTTAAATGGAGATCTGACTGGGTCCCGAGTCCTCGGGCCCAGAGGTGGGAGTGTTTTTGTTTAGTTAAACTCACTCACACCCTGGGCCCATGTCCAGCAGTATGACAGCACCATCTCCCAGGGTTAAAGGATGGAATGAGCCAGCAGAGGAGCGATGGTGGGCCGGAATTAAGCTCCTGCTGGCAGCCGCCACTTTTGTATTGTTTCAAGAGGCGTCGGCTGTGTTCTTTGAAAATCATTTTCTGTTGTTGGAAATCAGGAGAAGGGTGAACCTGGTGTCCTCACTTTGACCTTCAGCCTACTTTGCCCATCCTGTGTGTGAAAACAGGCTGGGAACCACTGGATTAGATATGCAGAAAGTATTATCTACGTTTCTACAGGTGGCTGGAGACTGTTATCAGTGTGTCTTCTCTCTCCCTCCCCTCACCCCACCCATTCACGGCAGACGGCTGCCCCTCCTGAACCTGTTTCCGTCTTTATTTCCTGTTAGGAAGGAGTTTTTCCTTCCCGCTGTTGCCAAGTGCTCGGTCACAGGGAGTCGTCTCATTGTTGGAGTTTTCCCTGCGTTATTGTAGGGTCTTTACCTTACAACACAAAGCAACTTGAGGTGACTGTTGTTGTGATTTGGTGTCTTTATAAATTAAATTAAATTGAATTTTCTGTTGTGGTGGACATCAGAAACTGAAAATCTCAGTGCGGACAACATCTGCTTTCTGTTCGCCTGCATAATCTTGTTCAACAGGCATTCCTGGCTGAAAGGTGCTTCACATGAGCTTTTTAAATGCCGGTTGGCATGATGAGTGGCTGTCCTTGTTAGTCACGGTGGGGACTGCAACTCAGAAGAGACGCCATCAATACGCAAGTGTCATCACTGATGAAGTGCTCTCCATTTATTTATTTTTTTCCTCTTTCCTCCCATTCTCTCTGTTCCCTCCATCTACATTCACTCCATGCCGCTTTTCTGCTTTTAATCAATTTCCATGCTCTATCAGTAAACATGTTCTTTGTGTCACAGTAAGAGCATTCCTCACTCTGAGCACTCTTTCTGAAAGAGTACACGCTTTGGTCATAGGAGAGTGTGACCCATTTATACTCCTTATTTCTTTATGATTTTTTAAATATCATATTGCTTAAATAAGGCCTCAAAGCAGGAGAAAAACACGATTAGAGATCTTTATATGTGACATGGTGCAGTTTGACAACATCATCTGCTCCTGCTTTTCAGCTAGCGTGCTTCAGACAAGCCCGTGCTGCATTTGTAGATGAGTGATGTCCTTCAGCCCTTTCACCTGGGAGTCCCCAAAGCTGTGTATTAACTGAAAACCATTGTGTGCAGCAAACTCGTCACTTTCTCGAATAAAGGGGAAGAACTGACTGACACACGCATCACTTGCCAGTTCACAATAAGGGCCAACACAATGACTAAAAAAATAAACTTGACTCCAAGATTGCAGTCCCTATATAGTCCTCGAGACACAATACACCTCTGTAGCAGAGCCGTATGTTTTCAGGACTGGAATCAAGGTCAAGAGTGAAAGAGGAGGTTTTATAAATAAACAAGGGAAGTTTTACAAGGAAAAGCTTTGTAGTGGTTTGTCAATTTGGCATGTAACGACCAGAGGTTGAGGAGTAAGGAAGAGCGCCGATGGAGGCCCAGTGGTCAGCAGCGCAGTGTGGGATTCTGTTTTTTTTGGTTGGGAGCAGGGGTTAGTTTGTGTCCCTGCAATCCCATCAGCCCTGCGCTGAGCCTTTAATGCAGCCCTGACGCCTTTCTGGCGCAGGGGCCACGCTGCCTCACATCTGGAGCCAATTACCCTGGAGGGGCTGTGACAGGGCCCCCACCATCCTCTACTCTCTGCTCCTCTGTCCAAAGCAGCTCACACCACTCTCACAGTTGCATTCTTCTTTTCACAACATCATGCTTTATTTGTCAGTCCTTTTCCTCTTTCTTTTTTTAAATTTGAAAACCATAACCTCCTCTACACTCAGAATCCCCCCCCCCCCCAATAAGCTGATAAAGAAGAATAACAGGGTATGTTTGTGGCCGAAGGGCTTAAGAGAGCAGAGAGCACTACGTAATGTCAGAGTCTCTTGTTTGAGGCCAGCCTTGTGTGTGTGTGTGTGTGTGTGTGTGTGTGCACAGCCTTACCTGAGGAGAAGCTGGGGTCTTGTGACTGGACTGTAGCACGGGGGTTAGTCCTGCTGCTTGGACCCAATGACTGATGAGAGTAATTGAGTTTGTGGTAGTGCAGCAAGCGTGTTAGGGGTGTAGACTGGCCCCGTAGGATTTCTCTCACCGAGGTCACAAGCGCTGGGAATGGGCTTCACCATATCTGGACCATACTCTTGTTAGTTCCCGCCCCACAGTTTGGCACCAATGCTATGGTTCATTAGCTGCAGCTATAGGGTGTACCTGGGCAGAGAGCCAGGGGATTGAGCTGTCCTGGGTTACACAGACATAAATTGAGAGTGTAGACTGTGAAGCAAATGTGGAAACTCTACAGGTGGCTGAAATTAAGCCATATACACAGAATCAGCCTGCTCTGAAAAAAGGAGGGGGGAGGCTTTTGGTAGCTGGCTTTGTGCTCGAGGCACTAAAATCTTGGCATTTTAAGGAGATACCTCAGAAGTGTGTGTTCATGCCTTTGTGTGTGTAAAGCATGCACATGTCTAATGTATATGTACACATGAAGCTCACAAGTCTGTGTGTTCTCAGTCTCTGGAGTCATGGAGAGCTGCAGACGTCTCCCATGGGTGCATAAATTCACGATTTGGCCGTGACAGCCTCTTCCAGAGAGAGAGAGAATGTTAGGCTGGAATGAGGGGGAAGCCATGCAGGGCAAAGAGCCACTGAGTTGGCAGACAGAAGGAGAAAAAGAGGGGGAACTGCTCGTAGAACAAAGAAAGAAAACAAATCATCCTGAGCTGTAAAAGTGCCATCTCTCGTTCTGGGGTAAAATATGAGCGAGTGGAAGAAAAATAGATTTTTAAAGTTTATCATAAGAGGGATGTGAGCAGAAAGGAAGAGGCGGGGGTGGAAGATGAGGGGGATCAATGGATTAAACAGTCTTACTCTGCCCTCTGCTGGACAGTTCAACAAAACAACATTGAGGCTTTGCTGAAAGCAGGAACACTCTTATGACCTTTCTCAAACTGTGCACAGAAATAGCACTAAAATACCCCGACTCTAACATGTATTTAAAAAAAAAGCCATGTGAGAATACCTGAACATTTGCTCCTGCTGGTCGGGGTGATCTGCAACAAAAATTTAAAGGGGCAAAATGTTTTATTTTCAACCACCAGCTTTGAGAGTCCTGCCGCTGATTGCTGTAAGTGCACTGACACTTTTTGCACTGAATCAATCTGCTATCAGCCTGCTTTGGCATTACGACCTTCTCTTCTCAGTAAGGTCATGTCTGAGAGGCCGTTTACAAGACATCCTGGATTCAGGGGATGTGCAAGTTCTGGGACCCCAGCCCTTTATTTATAACAGCTGGACCAGAGAGATGTGGAGTCCTGACATTTGGCAGAGTGGGGTGAGAGGTCAAGTCTAACACCAATAAAGTGAAGACTTTGATCGTGGCATTTATGGATAGAGGAGGTACAGCACCCTCAGAGTGGGAGAGAGTGGTGTTTAAAGAATAAAGAAAAAGAGCACTCCTGCAGTTAGGTGAACCAGCCGGTCAAGAAAGAAAAAAGAAAAAGAAATTAAGTAGCTGAACTTTTACTTTCATTTCAGGATTTATTTTACAGCCCATTGCCTCCTGCTGGTTCACTGAGCCCAGTCAGAGGATGTCAACAAGCACAGATGTGCATGTAATAATAATTTGAATTACTGCTTTTTTGTGTGTGCTGTAAATATTGAGGAAAGTGCAGCTTTAATTCAAGAGGTTTAACAAAAATATTGCATTCCCTGTTCAGGAAATGCAGCCTTTTTATATACAGACTTTATCATTTTCAGGCACAAGTGCTATTTAAGTGCTTGCTTGACTGACAAGCACTTTCATGGCCAAGTGGAATCTGTTCTCTCATTATTCCATGACAAATTAAGCAGATAAAAACCTGTAGTTGTTAAGTGTTAACACAGATAGACAAATAC